AGAGAGAGTGGAAGAAGGGAGGAAGGAGGAGCGAGAGGGCAGACGGGGGAGAGAGGGAGGAGAGAGGAGGAGGGTGAAGGAGAGTCGGGTGAGAGGGAGATGGATGAGGAGGAGAGAGAGGACGAGTGGAAGAGAAGAGGGAAGAGAGAGAGAGAGAGACGAGAGGAGGGGAGGAGAGAGGAGGGAGGAGTTCGAGGGGGAGGAGGAGATCGAGAGACGAGGAGGAGAGAGAGAGGAGAGAGAGGAGAGAAGAGAGAGAGAAAGAGAGACGAGAGAAGAGAGAGAGACGAGAGGCGGATATAGATAGATAGATAGAATGAGATAGATAGTAGATAGATCAGATGGAGAGAGAGAAGAGAGGAGGAGAGAGGAGGAGAGTGAGGGAGAGACGAGAGAGAGAGAGGAGGAGAGAGAGGAGAGAGAGAGAGGGAGGAGAGAGAGAGACAGAGACGAGAAGAGAGAGAGGGCGGAAGTAGATAAGTATAGATAGATAGATAGATAGATAGATAATGGAGAGAGGAGAGAGAGAGAGAAGAGAGAGAGGAGAGGGAGAGAGAGAGAGAGAGAGAGAGAGAGAGAGAGAGAGAAGAGAGAGGGAGGAGAAGAGAGAGAGACCGCTAAAAAGAAATTGAAAATAAAACTTAGTTCCTCTCAGGGAAACTATCTATCAATAAGTCTATCTATTTATCCATCTTATTTATCTGTTCTACTTTGTCTATTTATCTATCATCTATCTGTCGTCTCTGTTTAATCTATTTACTTATCTGTTCTGTTTTCTATCTATTTATTTTTTCCTATCTTCTGTCTAACTCTCTCTCTCTTCTCTCTCTCTCTCTCCTTCTCTCTCTTCTCTCTCTCTCTCTCTCTCTCTCTCTCTCTCTCTCTTCTCTCTCTCTCGCTCTCTCTCTCTCTCTTTCTCTCTCTCTCTCTCTCTCTCTCCCCTCCCTCCCTCTCTCTCTGTTCTATCGTATCTATTTTTGTCAATCTATACTATCTATCTCTTTGCTTCCCTATCTATCAATCTATTTATGTGTACGTATATATATATATATATATAATAATACTAATATATATATATATAATATATATATATATATTATATATATATATAGTAATAATATTATATATATATGTACATATGTGATGTTGTATGCATGTATGAATACAATGACGTATGTATGTATTTATGCTTCTGTATGTACTGTAGAATATATGCATGATGTGTCTGTCATATATGTATGTATGTATGAATGTACTCTCAACCCTACTATCTACCTACTTTACCAAACTATTCTATCTGTCTATCATCTATATCTATTTTTCTATTTATGTATATATCTACCTAAGAATCTATCTATCTATCTGTCTATATATCAATCTAATTAACTATATCTGTCTGTCTTTTCATTATACATTATCTTATATCTATCTAATTATCTAGATGTACTCATTCTATTATCTCATTATCTATCTAGTCTAACTAAAATTCCTATTTCCTTTCTGGGGCCCCCCCCAATTTTTCTAAATTTTTTATTCTATCCCCCAAAAAAATATCTTATATCTATCCTTCTATACTGTCTATCATCAATCTATCTCATCAACTTATCATATCTTATGCTAGGCAAATCTGTCTATCTACACTCTATCTATCTACCTATACTATATCTTCTTCATATCTACAAACCCTATTCACACACACACCACAACACACCATCACAAAACACACTCAAAACCACACACCACGCACACACATATACACACACAAGAATACAAAAGAAGACAAAATATTGGAATAAAAGAGGGAGAAGAAGGGAAAAGAAAAGGTCATGCACTGCAATGGAATAATTTGAGACGCGAAAATAATGACCGAATGAGGAGAGGGGAAAAAAGGAGGAGAAAGAGGGAGGGGAAAAGGATTATGATAAAGGGGGAGAGGATAGACATGGAAGAAGGGATGAGGGGAGAGGTGTGGAAGGAGGAGGAGAGAAGGATAAGGAGGAGAAGAAGAGAGGAGGAGGAGGGTTGAAGGATGGGAGGAGAGACGAGAACAAATGGGGAAGAGGACGAGGAGGGAGGAGAGAGGAGGAGGAGAGGAGGAGAGGAGGAGGAGGAGGAGGAGGAGGAGAGGAAGAAAGAAGCAAGAATAGGGGAGGGAAAAGAAGAGAAGGAGGAGGAGCGAGGAGCGGAAGGAAGAAGAGGAAGAGGACGGGAGGAGAGGACGAGGAGAAAGAGGAGGAAGAGACGAGCAGAGGTATGGGGAGGGAGAGGGAGGAGGAGGAGGAGAGGAGGAGGAGGAGGAGGAGGAGAGGAGGAAGAAGAGGAGGGAGGGAAGAAGAAAGAATAGGAGGGAGGAGACGAAAAGAGAAGGAAGAGGAGAGGAGAGAGAAGAGAGAGGAAAAGAGGAAACGAGGAGAGAAAGAAGAGGAGGAAGAGGAGGAGGATGGGAGGGGAGGAAGAGGTGAAGAGGAGGAGAGGGGAGGAGAAAGAAGAATTGTAGGAGGATGACTGATGATGAGCAGGAGGCACAGTGAATAAAACTGAGAGGTGGAATAGATGGGACTGGAGAAGGAGGGAAGAAAAGGAGTAGAAGAAGAAAAAGAGAAGAGAAGAAGGAGTAGGAGGAGGAGGTGGAGAAGCAAAAGTGGGAAGCGATGGAGACGAAGGAAAAGAAGAAGAGGAAAAAGTGGAGGATAAGGGATGAGAAAAAGGGAAGAGACGGAGAAAGAGGAGAAGGAAATGGATTATGAAAGAGAGAGAGAGAGGAGAGTAAAGAAAAGAAAAACGAAAAGAAAGAGAAGAAGAAAACAGAAGAACAAAGGGACCAGATATTACAAACAAGCGAACTACCAGTTACGTTCAAGAGAGGGAGGAAATGGGATAAGGGAGGTGATATGAGGGAGGGGGGAGGGGGGGGGGGGTGATAATGGGGAGGGGGGGGCGGGTGGGGAGGTTGCGCATACATGCAATAGGTTGCAAGAGGAATACACAGACCTCAAATAGGGGTTTAAATGGGTGTATAGAAGGGGAAAACGAGAGGGGGGGTGAGGGGAGGGGAGAGGAGAAGGTAAGGGAAAAGGGGGTGAGGGGAGAAGGGTGAGGGGAGGAGGAGGAGGGGAAGGGGTGAAGGGAGGGGGGTGAGGGGAGGAGGGTGAGAGGAAAAGGTGAGTGAGGGAGGAGGGTGAGGGGAGGAGGGTTAAGGAAGGGAAAGGGAAGGGTGAGGAGGAGGGTGAGGGGAGGAGGGTGAAGGGAAGGGGGAGGAAAAGGGGGTGAGGGAAAGTGGGTGAAAGAAAGGGGATGAGGAGAGAAGGAGGGGTGGAGAAGGGAGGAGGGAGAAGGAGCAGGAGAGAAGTAAGGATGAAGGGGAGAGGGAAGAAAGGGAGAAGGGAAAGGGGGGGGAAGATAAGGCGAAGGAAGGGGAGAAGGAGAGAGGGGGAAGGGATAGGTAAGGAAATTAAGGACAGCAATAGAGAATTAAGAGAGGGAGAAAGAGGGGAACAAAGGGGTGAGGGGAAAGGGGGGTTGCTAAGGGCAGGTAGCAATATCGTCACAGTTACCAATAATTGATGTTATGATCGTGTGATAAATAATAGCAAGGAGGAGAAAGGATGAGGGGAGCGGAGGGGGGAGAGGGGAGAG